TGTATTTTTGCCGAACTAACCAATAATAATGTTTTAAGAAAGTTGCCTATCCGTGACTCGAACAATAGGGTAAATTGGAAATTGCTATTGGTGAATTTGGCAAAAATACAATACACACGTGACGGTAAAGGACCATATTTATGAAAAAATGTTGACTAGCTAACATAGATAATGAGTTATATTTTTATTCTAACGAGTTTCCAAACCATCTATTCTATTAACTATGATAAAAAGAACGCAACCTCAGAATTTCCTGAGAAATCCACTTTGCAATTCTTAAGCATAAAAGATTTTAGGCCCCTGGGAATTGAAATCGAATTGCTATTAGATCATATTACTGTTGTTGTACTGTACAGGGTGAGTAACAAAGTGATACCTTCGCGGTAATTTGAATAACAAAACTGTCAGTTTTTTTTTACTCACCCTGTACTTGTAAATAAAAACTTATTAAGTGTCATTAAATAAATCAGTAATTTTGACAGTCGTGCTATTATAATTTCCCAAGCACCTAAATCTTTTGTCCTTTATAAAACAATCGAGATTGCGTAAAAAAGGAGACTTTTGGAAATCAACCATATTGTTACAATTTGAATGTCTTTTCAATTGCACATATGCCGAATCGTTGTGCGTGAAATATTGATAGGTGCATATATTACAAAATTATATTAAAAAACCGTTGTAACGTCATACTAAAATTTCAGTCAGTTTTAATGAATATTTCCATCACGTGTAAAATTGGGTATTTTTCCAATATCACCTATATAATTAGTACAATATTTCAGTATTGCATCGCACACCGGGTCTGGGGTTCACATTGATAGACTTCATATTTTCCCTTTATTTTTATACAGCAGTTTTCTTTCAGCCGTTGTAACGCCATACTAAAATTTCAGCCAGTTTTAATGAATACTTCTATCACATGTAAAATTGGGCATTTTTCCAATACCACCTATATAATTAGTACAATATTGATACTGCATCGCGCACCGGGTCTGGGGTTCACATTGATAGACTTCATATTTTCCCTTTATTTTCATACAGAAGTTTCCTTTCAGCAGTTGTAACGTCATACTAAAATTTCAGCCAGTTTTAATGAATACTTCTATCACAGGTAAAATTGGGCATTTTTCCAATACCACCTATATAATTAGTACAATATTGATACTGCATCGCGCACCGGGTCTGGGGCAACCTCGTTCCCAGGGCTTTTCCCTTTTTGTCATTGGGAAGGCGGGAAAAGGCCCTGGCACCGGCCGGTCTTCTATGTATTCTGATTGGTCAATGACAATAACATTATTATGCAAATAATGCAATCTTGGATTAATTTATTCAAACTTTGGGATAAATTAACATTTCATGCAAGGAGTGACCATATTAATACTTTGTCCGTCTAAGAAATATTTTTGGCAAAATCTGTGGCAAAATGGTTAAATTCGATAAGATTTATACACAATTTGTCGAAGGTTAGTATTATTGTTTGTTTTAAACTGTGAGAGAAGATTAATTGTGTACTAGAACACACCTCTGAGGCTCTGACCGAGTATTTAGGGCAAAATGTGCCTTCATATTTGGCTTCGTATAGCGTTTATATTAAATGTTTATATTTATAAAGCTAAAGTCTGGGTTTATAAACTGAAACATGACCTTTAGTTTTTGATATTCTTCATAGTCGAGTTTAAATTGGCCTAATTTATAGTTAGTTACCACTAGAAATGCGACGATATTTTGTTATATCATATATGCAACAGTGTTTACAACTTTTGCATAATATGTGATTTGGTTTTGTTTCAGATACTATTACATGTTGCTTCATTTTACCATAAATTGTGTTAAAAAAGTGATTTGCTCATTTGGCTGATGTTACAGTTTTCTGATGTTTTGTTTGGATGATAGTGGAACAATTTCAATATGAAAGTGCAGGTGTCTTTAGACATGAGCCATAATGTATATATCAAAATACTGATAAAATCCGTTTCCAGCTTGATTGTTTTGCATTTGTTGTATTTGCATTGTTGCAGACAAAGTTGTGCAATGGTGGGCTTATGTCACATACTCGTATGTAATTCCATGTGCCTGCATGTACAGTACTTTGATGCCTCAAGAGATGCTTCGAATGTGTAATAAAGGGAGTTGGGCTGTCTGGCCTTAAATTGCATTGTTTTTATGATATTTTAAGATTGTATTCATATGACTGGACCATCTTGCCATTGCCACAATGTCTGATGTTCAAACAGGCTTTAAAATCAGGTTACAATGCATGCTTGAAAATATGCAACAATTTCACTGCTAATAATATTCCAGAAAATCCTGCCTCTTGGCAGATCTGGACTGATTTGTCCGAGGGGGTGGAGGTTTTCTACTTGTGATCGGGCAAGGGGAGCTAGCCAAGGGTGCTGAGTCAGAGTCAAACTCATGTGAACGGCTTCTAAGTCCTAATTATATTGATAAATTATGTACACTTTGGGATGGTAATGCAATTTGTAAAATATTCCACATTTTATTTAATAAAATTTAATTATATACATTGTTTTTGTTGTTTATATATTAACACCTTGGACAGTGTATATTTACACCTTTGGACCCTGTAAATAAACACCTTTGGAGGGTGTACCCATTCTAAGCCAAAGACGTTTAAGAACAATTATCAAGGTATTTGCATGATAAAATATATTTAAATATACATTACATATACATGTAATGCATGGTTCAATTCTTGCTTTTACCAAGTAAACCCAGGGATTTTCAATATCCCCCTCCTCCCGTAGAATTCACTTGAAGTGACTGGGGCAAGGTAGCTATAAGTATAAGTAGTTATATTAATTTAATTAATTAAAGTCAATTAAAATTTACAAATTGAGCTTTTTGAATATAGACCATTGCAAAATTTTTTAAAATTTGTTTAACCCTTTATAGTGGCAATGTCCCTACTTTAGTATATTACTCTGTCTGGTGCCAGACAATTTTACTCAAGGGCAGAATGTAGACTTGCCACAAGTCGACCTCGAACGAAACGTCGGCTCACACTCGCTGCTTGCGTTTCGTTCGAGGTCGACTTGTGGCAAGTCTAGGCAGAATGCTGCCACTTAATGAGTTAATATATTCTCAGAACAATTACCATCAAATTTAATCTATTTTGCTGGCAAAATTGCCTTGGAGGGGGTCCTTGATTTGTTGAGTCTTTTTTTTGGGGGGGGGAGGGGTGAGTGTTGTAAAAAACAGAATAGCAACTGGTTTCAGAATAGGAAGAATTGTTGTAATATAGGTAATATAATTCATCCAAAGGAAGCAATCATTCTAGCTCTTGTAGTATATGTTGCAACAGGGATGGATTTACTGGGGGGCGGGGGGCTGTGCACTCCCCTAGCCCTGGCCAGAGGGGTGCACGGGGGTGCTATTTTTCATGATAAAGCAAAAAATTATTACAGGCAAAATGAGATACAGTAATTTGAGTAATAACATGATGATAAGTGAGCTGTGAACAACAATTACAAATCAAATACAGTAGTAAAGCAAGACTTTGCAGTAGTGAAGCAAGTTGATGGGCGGGCGGCACACATGACCGACACAACTCGGCACCAGAGCTGGCAGAGCAACCCCCCCCCTACCAGATCATGCTGGATCCATCCCTGTGTTGCAAAATGTATTTTCTTCATAGTCAGGCCTTCACATGAATGAAGATTAGAATTGCATTATCTTATATAGTCTTAAATATTTAGGAGGGGTCTCCATTATTAAATTTAGAGATTAAAAAGGGGTCCCATGACATTTTGACATAAGAATCTCCCACGCCACCCTAGGGTATAATGAATGGTCACTTAAAGTACATGCCATCTTCTAACTGGTTGGGCACTTTGCCCCTTTTGTGATGGAAAATCTATTCCCTACCTTTATCCCCTGGGACAAAAAATTCAAATCAACTCTCCACCCTGATAATGTGCAGATGGTAACAGCAAGAACTGAAACAAGCAAGCTTTACTGGAGTACATACTATTATTAGGAAGCATCAATTCGGACATGCTAATTTGCCAGTCATGATTTTAAACGTAATATTTCTTATCTCGTATAGAATTCTTAAGGTCTTTTAGTATTCCAAAGGTCGTAGGTTCGAGTCCCACCGCGGCCGGGCATATTTTTCAAGCTTCAAGCTTGCCCGGTGTGGATATACACTCAGAGTAACATCACAGATATCATATCTTAAGGTCTTGTTTACATTTTACTGGAAGCAAACTAAAATTCATATCCAATATTTGGGTCATATCACTCATATGTCAGTTTTGCAGCTTGCCAGCTTCAACAACATTTGGTTGCAAGGAAAACGTAAACAAGGAAAGAGCATATAACACTTCATCTGTGTTTAAAATATCAATGAATAAGTATTCCAACCATTGGCACTTTATAATATAAGTGACATTCAACAATAGATCAATAACATATACAGTATATGCAAAAGCATTTCTTTGAATCACTGTATAAACAGAGTCTTTGGAAGGGTAAAACCAAGTTTAACATCCCCAGTTCAAAACACTTTCCGTGTCCTCTTAGGCAAGCCTGTCCAGCTGGAGAACATCTGTCGTATATTTCAATGGCTGTTAATTTTGTTTAGCGAACGAACGATATTTACCAAACCCAGTTGGAAGAACAGCAACTACATAGTTCCCATGTAATAAAAGCTGAAGAATCTGATTTCGAGTACGTCGGTAGCAAAAAGAAGGAAAAATTTCAAAGACTAAACGCATTTTTAAGCCGCTCTAAGCACTTAAATTTTGTGGACACTCTTAGGTTGGCGGCCATCTTGGATTTTCTAATTCATTATTATAATTTATTACACCCACTCACTGCACCCACTATATCTGGGTGTTGAAAGCATAGATATAGGTTGAAAGTCATGTGACCGGCCGGTGCCAGGGCCTTTTCCCGCCTTCCCAATGACAAAAAGGGAAAAGCCCTGGGAACGAGGTTGAAAATATATCTTGTTAAATATTATTTACACAGCTGTTCTATCACGTCTTCTTTGCTTTCCATTGGGAGAAGGACCGAAGCATCTTAAGACGTCTGCCAGTTATCCTAAAACGAAAAAAAGTATAAAAAATTAAAACATTTTCGATATCGCCAGGTTTCGGGTTACAAATGGAGTAGAGAATTTTACCATGGATGTTTTAAGACGTCTTTTAATCTTGGCCGCTTCTTAGGATTCACGGTCAACATTCTTTCCAGAAGATCTCTCGCATCTACAAATAAACATATTTTTCTCATCACTAGCAACTTGTAAGCTACATTACATATGAACAAGAGGAAGAGACTGCTGATATAGTCAAACTCATGTTGTGGTGGCAACTCGAAAATGCAGGCTAAAGAGCCTGGGAACGAGGTTGGCTCCACTGTTGGCTTCTCAAATTGTCTCCCCGATTATCAAATCCTGCCAGGCTACCCGCGAGCGTAACTAGCATGCATCTTGTTGTCCGCTGCAAATAAATTCGATGTCCCGCAAACCTATTGTGATCGACCCTCATTCGTTAGCACCAAAAGTCCGCGTTTGCTATATCCGTTTTTCAATGTCCGCATTTACTACGTCCGTACCTGTTGAAAAGTGTTTCAAATGCGTAGGTTCACCATAACGTTGTAGCAAGGCTTGCTGGGCATCTTCGTAAGGTCTACAACCTGTCAACATGTAGTACGTCATTATTCCCAGTCTCCACACGGTCTCGTCACGTGGGTCATACTGACCGCTGATCAGAAATTCTGGAGGCATGAAGGTTTGTGTTCCTGCAAATATTGTGAAAAACTGAAATTATTAATCATTGCATGTAATATATGATCCACGGCGTAATCCACCGGATCATATACCTACCTTCAAATTGATCAAAAAGTTCTCCTTTCTGAAAATATCGTGATAAACCAAAATCCACAAGTTTGCATGTCCCATGCTCAAGATCATATATAACATTTCTTGGTTTAATATCTCCGTGGATCATTCTTATTCCCTCCATCTTTAGCAAAAGACCTCCCAAATCCTTGACAATCTTTTTGGTTTTCTGCTCAGTAAACGGGAAAAATCTTTCCCCTTGAAGGCTGTGGAGGTTTTTGGATCTTGGAGGTCTATCCATTATTATGACATATTTGCTTGGCGACATTTTCTCGCAGTGTAAAAGTCGTATGGCGCACGGATGCTTTGGAAGGTGTTTTAGAATGTAAACTTCTCTTGGGACTACATCCAAATTTTTATCCTGAAAGTGCAATTATAAATATCAAATTTGAACGATAAATTAACTAACGCGGATGAACTTGGGGTTTCTTGGTCATTTGGTGACTTTCAATACTATATAATTAAATGTTAATCTTTTCACTGTAGTCTATATAATAGTCTTGTATTCTGGAAAATATATAAAATTAACAGTGCCGGATTAATTAACTTTTGCAGTGCGGAGGCAAAACTATTCGCCCGTACGTGGCTGTGAAAAAGAACATAAAGTATTTATCTGGAATATTTTATACATGGGCGTATGGGCCTAATCTTTTTTTTTGGGGGGGGGAGGGCACAGTATTAGTTTGCCCGACCATCGCTAATTAATATTTCTCCCCAAAATTGTTGGGGAGGGGGGAGGAGGCCACTTATAAATTTGCCTGCAAGCTAGCTGCGAGTGCTTGCATCAAACTGAAACTGTCGAGTATTGTGATTGGTTGAAATAAACTGTCGAGCATTGTGATTGGTTGAAATAAACTGTCGAGTATTGTGATTGGTTGAAATAAACTGTCGAGCATTGTGATTGGTTGAAATAAACTGTCGAGCATTGTGATTGGTTGAAAGCACTCTTAAGCAAGCTTGCGAGTTGAATCTGGCAATGAAAGACTAAGAGGCTTGTTTCCTTGGACATAACATCTTACTTGGTAATAGTCTGTGATATCACTCAGATACCCAGTTTTAATAGCAACCTGTAAATTAAAAGTGAGAAAAATAAATATTAATGCCATGTGTCAGAATGAATTCTGGTCCGCTAGCTGATGCCTTTAAAGTGTACGTTTTATCTAAATTTATACTGATTTTATGGTTTCAAGGTTCCAACTTACAGGCTGAATTCTCGGCTTCTTCCCTGCAGTGACTGCAAAACCTTTAAACACTTTTCCATATCCTCCTTCACCGAGTAAAATATCTTTACACTGGTAGTACACTGGGCCTAGTAAAATGTGAAATATTTTTCAAGAAAAATAATTTTCAAGACTTTTCAGTGGCTCACTCGTCAAAGTTGCCTCATGTTTCAAATCCCGTTCTTCGAGTCCCGTTTGGGCCTCGCCCATTTAGGGTCTCTGAATAATTGACTATATAATTAGACTTTGTACATATACTTTAGTGGACCCCAATAAAGATTAAAGACAATAATAATAAAATCTTTTAAAAAATTTGCTGATGAAATAATGAAATTTACCTTTTGGTGACAAATCAATCAATTTCACTAATTCTTCGTCTGAGCTAAATTCATCTTTATTAGCTCTTGTCATCTGATTTACTAACGTGAATACTGATTTTATAAACTATTAAGCTAATTCTATTTGAACTTTAAAATTTGAATTTTTCTTTGTCAAAATGTTGCCTGCACAACCAATTTTTTTTCTGCATTGTGACGCAAATTAATTGAATTAAGCCTAAAACCTTCGTCAACTAGCGACGTAAGCTCAAGGGCGAAAACGACTTTTCTTCTAATGCGCTTATAGGAACACAAAGTTGCATTTTTCACAATTATTCCTGCATGTCTAAAATAAGTAATACAGTTTTTACTCAAACATATACAAAAACCCTTCGGCCCAATCTTCCTTTGATGCATGTAAAGTGGTCAAGTGGATGAGTTAAAATGTTCACATGAGGGTACGTATGTCATACACTCAATTCTGTATTTATTTTGAGTATAAATGTTCTCTGTATGGTTAAAATATTTCTTTTTTACAAGCTTTCCACTGTCAGTCTACAGTCTTCAACGGGTAGATTATAATGTTGAAGACTGTAAACTGACAGTCGAAAACATATTTAAATCTATATTTATTCTCGTTCACATGCATCAGAAATACGCTAGAAATCGCAACAAAAATGTAAATAACCTTGTACTGCATGAGCTTCACTGAAAAATCATGTCGTTTAGAACTCAACTGATCGGCGAACCTATTGACCGAAACAGTTATTATTTGAGCACAATTGTTCGGCACCGTGAAAGGGTTCGACGTTTGAATTACGCCTCTTGGGAAATTATTATACATTTTTGGAAGCATTCATCAATCTTAATCCCCCCCCTTAATTGATTCAGTTTATCAACGCCGTTTTCCACTTCAATCGTATAGTACCGAAGCGTAGCGTGTTTCTTTTGTTTCCTGGGCACTAGAGTGGAACTAATGACTTTGGCAGAAAAGAAAATGCTACGGTGGAAAAGTGGGAAAACAGCCTTTAATTTCGACAAATCTTAATTTGTGCGCGTTCACCAATTACCCGAATGCCCCAACTGAATTCCCTACATTTTCCGAGTATAAATAAAGTGACATATTAAAAGCCTGTGCGAAGGAGAGTGATCGTATATCTGCCCTGTTGACCTCGTTAATTAACAAAATGATTTAATGGCTTATTAATTGCATCAGCGCATTTAACAGTTCCTCCCCAGAGACGCACGCTCGTCTCGCGTTTCCAAATGCGTGTCGCACTCGAACCAATCAAATTGAACCAAAGAGCCAATCAGAACATGGTAGCAAATTTAAAAACAGCACCCATGTTTTCAAACCAGCATTCTGGCGTTGACTGTTGTTTGGTAAAGTTCTTGCTTCATGCTTCATCTATAAATTGCAGAACAACGCCTTCTGATCTCAATATCGTGCAGTTTTACTTTTCTGCGTTTAAACAAAATGTTCATGTCATTTGTGTTTATTGTGCTCGTAGCTTTCGTCGCTCAAAGCGACTCCGTTTCGTCCCATGGTGGGATATTTGGGAAGAAACGCAATAAACTGGTAAGTTGATTAACCAACTTGACGTATCCTAGATTGATAGCTGCTCCACAGTCTTGACACTCTTGTATTCAACGAGAAGTACTTCGTCTAATTACTTGTATAAAAGTATATTTTGAATGATTGTCTTATTTAATCTTATAATATTAGACTGTATTTACTCGGGACTGGAAGATTACAGTCTACATAATCGTATACGCAATGTTTCGGAATCCACTTGTTCACGCAGTAATTGTGCAGTTAGCTGTCCTAGAATTCGTCTGATTTCATGTGTTCATACGGTGGAATCGTGCAAGTTTGAGAACGATTTGAATTTGTCAGTATAAATTCTCCCTACCTCATGGTTGAGGAAACGTAAACTGGTGATCAACCGCAGCTTATCAGACTGAGAGTTCTTTACTTTACAAGCATCATTCGTGTCAACACTGGTGAATTTGAGCACTAATTCGCTTTCTGAAAACCATAATTGAAATTAATTTTGTTCAACGACCCGCAGTTTCGGAGCAAGTTCGTGTCGAAGTTTAAATTCAAAATCCGTTGAGATTCTATGAAGTCGAACAACGCGAACGTAGAAGCAAAAGCATTGCTATCATGATAATGATCCTAGAATGAGGAAGTGTTTTATACTGGTTTTATAGAATGCGTGAATTCGTGTTGTGCTTCAGAGTCTAACGATTTATACTCATCACCATCGTCCACGAATAACTTAATTAATTTAAAAGTTACACAATTAACTTTAATTTAAACCACTTCCAATTTATTACATATGTTCCTGTTTTTAAACGATTAGCGCCACATATATAGATGTTTTCTCGATATATTTGAATGTTATGAGTAGAGTGTTGGTTTTAATAATTTACCTTTGGGATTACATGAGATTTATAGAATGTCATGAGATTATAAGCTGAACAACGGGACTCCTGGCATCGCAACATGCAAATTCGATAGCCAAATAGAGTAATATATGTTGTTCAGTGAACAAACAAAACTAGTTTTTTTATATTAATTGAACAACTATATACACTTGCTCAACGTACGTTCAGTCATTCATTTGCGCATTGTCATTGAACACTAAAAAAATCTATTTGTCATTTGAATTGAACAATTATTTATACAGCTACACGTTTATGGCACAAGTTATTAAAAAGCCAGACCGTCTCTGTCAAAGTTGTTTGCTCAGTTTAGTGAATGATATGCGTATGGTATTCAAATTAGCTGCGCGCATCATGGTGCTATTCACGTGATATTCAAATTAACTGCATGAATGGCAGAACGATATCCAGGCTTAGTCTACTCAATAAATACAACCTGTGACCATGCACTTGTAGCCTGCGTAGCAGGCCCTCAGTTTAATGGGGGCCTGATTTGCAACGGGCAGGATTTCGGCGGGCACGGGGAAGCCTCAATCCTCCCCCGTGCCCGCCAAAATCCTGCCCGTTGCAAATCAGCCCCCCCCCCCCCATAAAACTGAGGGCCTGCGACACAGGCTAATGCACTTGTGACCTATTTTGAATGAAGAATTTCAAATTACATTTTTCACATTCCATATGTTATCGATGTATATTTGACTCTCTCACTCAGTCACTCTCTGCTTATTTAGTGTTGATTTAATTAACAAACGAGGTAAACACGTTTGTCCATTCAACATCGTTGGCTATGTTCGGTCAGTGTTGGCTGATGTTGGTTTCATCCAACATCGTCCAACAGCAAAATGCCTTAAATAAGCAAAATCAGACCATTTATTCAAAATTGTTATTATACTGTAATCTAAAAACATGCATATTTTTTAGCCTGGCCTCGCACCTAATCCTCCAAACAGATTCCTTTGTCCTGGTTGTCTTGAAAACTTAAATAAGGTACGTTTGACGTGGAGCAGAGTGAGACTGTGTAGCTTCATAGACAGAACTGAAACTGTAGAGTCTAGAGTAGTATAGATTATTGAGATGATGGGTTGAGACATATAAGGGCTTATTAAATTTCTTCCTATGATTTGGAGGATTTGTGGTAAATTATAGATAATCTCTTTAAAATGTTGAGAAAGCGATAGAGGATTGAGAGGTTAACAAATTTCTTCCTCTAATTTAAAATTTTTAAACTTATGTTGTTGCTGTAATTCAGTAAAGTCAAACGAGGACAGAGAGTACCTAAGAGTTGGCAGATACGCGACCTTGTTTAGCTGAATAGCTGTTCTTAATGATTTCCCAACACTATTGTGTATTGAAACATGCATAATTGAAACACTCATTAAACATATATTTTGTTAATCTAGAGCTTGAAATGTCCCCTGTTACAATACGTGATTGCCAACTCTCCCAGACGAATATTCCAACTCTCCCCATTTCACCGGGAGTCTGCCGAAAATTCATACAATCTCCTGGTCTTCCAATTTTTATCAAGTTTATGGCAATTTATAGGATCACATATAACAACATCTTCCCAAAATGCAGGAAATGCCATTTGAGAAGATTTAATTTTTAAAATTTTTTACAGCGGAACAACCGAACAAGATTTCAAATCACTGAACAGTCTCCCCAAATTTTACCTCCAGTAGTTGGAATGTCTGCTCTTCTCAACTCAACTCTCGGCCAAGTCACAGTGTAATAAGTCAATAAAGTTTGGTTTTTTAATCTTTTCTCAAATTAGGCATTAGGAAATGGAGCGACAGAAGAAAATAAAAAACTACGCAGAGAAAACGTCGAAACGATCGAAAACGTCAGAATTCATTGTATGAAGGGGGATAAAGGTGACAAAGGGGACATTGGGGTACCTGGAAGGCCAGGACCACAAGGACCTGAAGGGACATGTGACAAAGAACAGGTACACGTACAGTGTCGGTTGTGATTAATGCTGACGACAGCAGATGGTGGTCGACTTCAGAACTCAGTATATAATAAAGCAAGAAACTACATTTCTCAATTTACGGCTTGCCTCCAAATAAAATGGTACTACATATAATGCAAATTAATGAATATTTAGCAAATTATTTTCTCACTCTGATAACTGGCAATTGACCATTATCTGCTGCACGATAGTGCTTAGTAATTCGTATTTATTACACTGATAATCTGACGTGTATGTGATTGTCAAATCCTCATCGGTTGCCTATAATAATTTGGCTATGATTTTTAGCGAATGCGTTTTGTCATGCTGAGAGAAAAATATTGGCTTTTGGTAATTTTTGTAAAACATGCCGTTGTTTCATTACGTTTGTAACAGATTGAAGCTGTTGTGAAACCACTGCAAACTAAACTGGAAGCCTTGTTGTCTTCATACACCACTGAGGTATCAGCTTGATATTTATCAATTTGTTTTGAAAGAAGGTGGAGAATTAGAATTGAACATTTTTTCTTTTCAGATTGCAAGACTTAGAAACGAAGTTTACTCTATCAAATCAAGTAAGTCTGCAACGTGATAGTCCAGGGTTTTTTAGGGTTCTTAAATCCCGAGTCCAATACTCGCTATCCCCGATGTTTTCCGAAGACCAGAACATCTCGTATCCCACCATAACGATCCTTTTTATCCGGTCATTACAAATTACCAATATAAACACGTAAGTCCCACAAAACCTATTTTGAATTTAAGCTCTGTTCCGTACTGTGCCTTCAAAATATACAGCATTTTTACCTTTCTTTCATTTTTAGAATTTGTTCACACAATTGGTTCCGAAGAAAATCCAGCCAAGTCTTGCAAAGAAATTTATGAACAAGAAAGGTGCGTATGAATACAAAAAAGATTCAGGCCTTTCATGATCAAAACAGTTTGTTAATTACCCGTTTGAGAATTGTGATATGATCTAAAAGTTTCTTTTAATAGTTAATCTTATTCTTGTTCTCTAGATATTCGCCAAGTGGAGTGTATTTCTTGAATATAACAGGAAAACTGGGAGGGTTAACTAGGGTCTATTGTTTCATGGAGGAAGACGAAACGTGTCCTGCAGGGTCCACACTAGTCCTCAAAATAGATGGTACTAAGGTAAGAACAGAACGAGGGGCAGGAATTTAGTAAGAACAGAACGAGGGGCAGGAATTTAGGAAATACACAATAATAAAATTTTTTGGAGGGTGGGGTCCTTTACCCCTATGAACGGAGGGCATTTCTACGAAGCTCTAGATATGGACAGAGAGTTATTTCCCTGAAAAGGACTTGGCTCAACTAGCTGTGGGACAAGGTATCTGGGCACCATAATTAAAAAAAAAACCCAAGTTCTCCTTTACTAAAAAATAGACTTTTTTCTTTGTCTGATTGTGAACCTAACCAAGCTTCAACATTAACACTCTGGTTAGCATCAGGTTGAATTTCCTTATTAAACGAAAAATTAAATTATAACACAATTTGGTTAATTTTCCTGGTATTCAGTTTTGAACAGATTCAACCAGGAATCTTGGTTGATCTGACCAAATTGGTCACGTGGTTAGAACTTCACTCTGGGTACAATTAAACCGTGTGTTGTATGTATACTAAAACGTCCAAATATTTTAAACAGGACACTTTCAAATATTCCTCTCCTTTGTGGGCAAACAAAGAAGTTTACGCGGAAGAAAATGGCCTCGCGCTTTTCGACACGAAGGAAACTAAATCGGCCTCGTTTTGGAGCGTGCCTTTCACAAAAATTTGCATCAACATGCGAAAATTAGATTCCTTAGAAGTAGCATCGCTGGTAATCGACGAAACTTCGACTTCACTTTACGATCTTATAGCAGATGGAAAATACCGAGCCACGAAAGGAGGGCGGGAAATTTGGGAATCTTTACTTCCTGGTTCCCAGGTCCAGCGTGGTTGCTTCCTGGAGGGGTTTAACGCGCATGGCATACAAGATGGATCCGCTGGCGCACGTATTGGAGTGATCGCAAGCGACCAATCAAATTGCACGTCGCCTGATTCGTTCATTGGGTTTGGCACGGAAGGTGGGTCATGTGATAGCAGCAGGAAAATCTCTTGTGGGAACGAATCTGGCACTTGCAATACTGACGCAGATAAATATACCTCGGCTTTTGGGTATATCTTTGTTTATTAAATGGAGAATATTCTGTTAGCCACGGAATTGTTATAATAGTTAGGTCTGTAAGTTAGGAATAGAATTGTGAATAATTGCTTATTAATGAAGATTATACTTTAGGAGATATATATAATTTAGGACATACAGTATATTTTAAAAATAAGTTTAAAAAATCTAGGATACAATCAGAGTATAATACATAATACACAAAAATTATAGGATATTTAGGTTGTATACTTTATATAATTTAGTAAGGTATATTTGTGATTATTATTTTTCTTTTATTGCGATATATGATGAAATTGAATTGTAAATTAATTGTAAAATATTGTAATTAATTCTTCTGTAGTTTTATGTTTCGTGAAATTAAAGCTTTAATGAAAGAGTTCTATCTAGCCTGTTTACAGATGCCAATTCTGTTGTCTATGGAAATGATGGTCTTCAAATTATACCCCTTGGACAGGCGACTGTTGCGACTTCTGTATTGTTAAGGAGCAGTAAGGGTTGTAGGCCTAGTTCAGTGGGTCAGGCGTTACGCAGCCTCCAATGTATAGCAGTGTTCAGGAAATTCTTTAACAGCACAGCACTCCACTACCCTGAATCTTGGGAGGCGAAATCTACCAAAAATGACTTACCACCATGACCTTGAGAGGAGTTGATAAGCGGCATATATTAAAAATATAATATCACAAGTACGCAATAGACCTTTCCAGTAATTACATCACGACTAACACTGTTTTCAACTTAGGACCACCTTTAAGTTTGTTTCTCACGGGCTATGGTCAGAGGAGCAGAACATCCTTCTTCAACACATGTATAAAAAGAAATTTGGATTTTTACCAATAAATGTGGAAATAAGCTTAAACACGAAAACGAGGCTAAGGGGCCTGGCCCTCTTCTGCTCCTGTGAACATAGTACGTGAGAAACAAACTTCAAATCCATTCCATTTAAGGTGGTCCTAAGTTGAAAACAGAAAAGTTGTGACGTAATTACCCGGAAAGGTGTATTCGCTCGCCAGTCGAATTTTCTGTCATTTAGTCTCCAGTATCTATACAGACGTCTGCGTGATGACACAAGACTTCACTGTCCAAGGTCAATCCAGGCGCGGCGCACGAATCCGATATTTCGTCTAGAGGGTTTAGAAGAGTAGACGCCTGATTGATGTATTCAGAACAATTGCTGCTATATAGCACGCACTGAAACCCACAAGATAGCAAACTACAGGCCCATCTCTCTCACCAAAGTTCCCATATTTAATGAAAAGAATTAACATCGTTTTCTCGCACTTTGAGAACTGACCACCACTCACAGAGGGTTTCGGGATACAAAATTGTAATGGCCTCTTTTTGATTAGAGATTTTTTATTCGAAACCGCGAAACCAATAGTCGAGGGACACCTTAAAAGTTTGAAATGCTCGACATGAGTGATGAATCAACATGGAATCACAGTTAATAATATACTGTTATAGTCAGGCGGTTCACAATTGTTGATCTGACATGTTGCATTCGGGATAAAAGGGTGTTCATATTCGATAACTGTTTACCATAGAATGTTCAGAATTGTTTATCAAAGAATGCTCAGTACATGAATTAATATGTTAAGACGATATTTATCAAACAAATGTTCAGCTTACTTTCTCGAAAACAACTTTTTTCAGTTAAGGTTTTCACTTAGTTCAGCAACAGAACGTTTTCATCGTAATGAATTGTATGAGATTTTTGACTGGTTAAAAATAGTGATAATGTCCTTTTCACACCTTTTCGACATGGTGAGTGGGCGATTCAAAATACCAACAAAGCTCTAAAGTGAGGAGGTGGACAACATGCCTTAGTTTGGTGATCAAATACAAACCCACATACCTGCACGTAAACATCCAGACATACTCCGGTACAACGCGATGATCAGTATTCAAGGCTCGAAATAGATGTGGTGGGTTGAAGGTTTCATGATGATTAGGCGCACATTATGCAAAATAGAATTTTGAACCACTGAGTATTTTAACAAAATACAAAACAGGTGTAACTCCAAAGATCGATGCCATTTTTATATTTATCATTTTTTAATCATCTGACTGAGCAAGCGAGGTCGTCGCAATACTAACACAGTATGGCACTTTGCGAAACATGAAACGCAGAAAGTGTTGCGGAAGTGCATTGGGCTTTTCATCATGGAGCAGATTTAAGTGCTAAACTAAGTAAAAAAGCGAGATCTTTTTATGACATTTAAAGCGATTAATGGCATGCTTCCAGAATACGTAACACGACTATTTCACACTTGTGAAAACAGTAGTTACGTACTGCGCAGTAGTAATTTAAAGCTGTCTCAACCCAAACCAAAAACGAATTTCTTGAAAAATAGCTTTTCGTACAGAGGAGCAGCGTATTGGAACAACATCCCAATAAACTTGTTAAAAACCCTATAAAAGAGAGTCAACAGGTTTTAAATCTGTCCATCATCTATTAAATAATCACATCTTGTAAATAAGTATATAATTTAGTTTATTAGTAATAAGTTTATCCTTTTTTATAATGCATTTATTTTCCGCACGGCCCTTTGAAAATCACCTATGTGAAAGGTTACCGTGTTTAAAGATCATTAATAATAATAATAATAAATAATTAATAATAATAATAATTTGGTAAGGCCTCTAACATTAACGCTTTACAATCCTTTTTTCCCTAGTAGACATTAATCATTTTATGTGTGAAATAAATTGTCATTTGATAATTATCAATAGATGTTCGACCAGACATGGTTTTGTTTGACAGGATCTCACCATGAAACTGTACGTGGGCTGGACATGTTTGAACACGAATAGTGGTGACACATGTTGACTAATTCCTCGGAGGCAACTGTATAAATAGAAGGATTTACATTGCCTTGCTAGTGTTTGCATGCGAGCTTTGGACTGATCGTGTTATTATTGCAAGCCGTAACTAGTCTCGCGTCAGTGTAAGTACCCGATAGAACCATGGTACCGCGATTAATGTTAAGCGTTTTGGTATTGGCTTGCGTCTGGCTTGACGGGAATTATGGAGAAAGCAGTGTAAGTGTCAAGTTTATATTTATTTTGGGTTAGTTTTATGTTTGTATCTTTGTATTTGTCCTGTTTAATTTTGCGTGTCATGTTCTTGCGTTAAAACATTTAGCCATTATTGAATATTCCATTAAGAAATCATTTTTAATGTTCGAGCTTTCGCATCAGTCATTTGAGCTTTCGCATTAAGCTGATTACGACATTCATGGTACACTTCCATGTTGTTAATTCCTGGTAATTCCTCATATAAACCTAAAAACCTCGTCTATATCACTTCTATGGATTAGGTTCATTTCCCGCAAGAATGTTAAAATACATTTCTGACTTCTATTATTTATTTGCCACCAAATTACAAGACTATACTGTATATAAAAGACGAATTATTATTTTCTCGCTTTGGTAACTACAGAGATTGACCAACATATAAAAGTCAAAAGTGGTTAGTGAAGGTCACTTGTCTGGGTCACTCATATCAGCATAAAAAGATAATTGGCTTTGGTTTGAAACTTTTAAAAACCTATAATTTGTTTTTCAAAATAGTGTAGCAATAGTTGCACAAAAAGAAATGTATTTTAAAATTTTCAATTTCAATTTCTGGAAGCTGCATACAGGACGTCGACCATTTATATACATTTGCTATACATTTCCCACGCATAAATTTAAGTTACGAACCGGAAACTTTACGCCTCAGCACCTGACTGTGTGCACGGGTCTTCATGTCCTTTTCTGCTTTCAAACAACCGAAAGAGGAATAACAAAAACATCTGCATGCCTCTGAACAGGAACATCGTTTATGGTTCAAATATTTGCATATTTTACGTCTGAAAACGCCTTGAGAGTTGAGTGGCTAGAGTAAAAGTGGGAAGAGTACGTAAAAAGTCATTTTCACTTTTAGCATGCAATCTTATGATTGAGTAACCCTGATATTTATTGAAATAAAGTTGCCAAAAGTTCTCGATCGCTGCTCAACGTTTATACATAATTTGTTACTCAATTGAAACTGTATCCACCATGTTTCATTCATCGTTTTTGTTCAGAATTCAATTGAACCACCGCCTATCAATCCTGGAGATCGGTGCCCTGTTAAGGAACTAAAGGTTGGTTTGTTATTCTGCATTTGTTTATTTGCGACAGACCAATGATACCAACTAAAAGTTTGTCATCAAGCTAGTTTTATTTTGAGCTTAGTATTCTTGCCTCACCAGGGAGAAAAAGGAGATCCAGGCCCCGTTGGGCCGGCAGGCAAGGATGGATTACCAGGGATACAAGGGGTTAAAGGTGATCAAGGAGAACAGGGTATGAAGGGTGGAGATGGGATGAAAGGCGGTGAAGGATCTAAAGGTGCGAAGGGGATACCTGGGGATGATGGAAATGAGGGAAAGCTAGGTGCTAAAGGAGATAAGGGGGAGGAAGGACAATGTGATGCACAGGTATGGGGGCTGGATTTTAATTTTTGCGTCCTGATCACAAGATCAGTGGTCCTAATATATCTTAAAAATAGGAAGGTGTGCTTAAAATTGACAGAGTAACAGCTAGCGCGCCTTTGGCTGCCACCATAGACTCGTGCGTGATCATTGATGAGGGAAGACAGCCAACCACAACATTACTGATACGAGTTTTCCAGCACGTCAAATATAAGATAGTCACTCTTCATGTAACAACCCATCAACCTTTACTAGCAGGCTTAACTCGGTCTTGGCAGTCAGGACGCAATGCAACATGCTTTACTGCGTCCTACCAGGATTCTACATTATAATTTACCCTCTCTATTACATCATGAGGAAAGCGTTAGCAGTAATGTATTAACTTTTGTAAAACATGTTTTCCACACAGTTCAATCATAATGTACCATAGCGTCCTCTCGTTTTGAAAGTAATGTTTAACGCTAGTTTTATAAAATAAGATTAATCATTTCGTTTCTTTATCCACGACTCTAGTGTGGAGACATAAAGAAGCTTGAAGCAAGATTACAATTACTCGAGTCAAACTACACGCAAGAGGTATAAATTAAAGTAACATTATTATAGTTTTATATGTAATTTATATATCTGTATACTGAATTGATGGCCACGCGTTTATCAGTGCAAACTGTCAAGTGAAACCATCTTGAAATAATGTTGTTTATTATTATTATATGTCTTATATCTGAAACACAGCATGTAAGTAGTGTGTAGCGGGGCTTAATGGACCCTTTTCATGCGATAATTAGCAAAGTTACACCTTAATAATTCATGAGTTATGCAAATTAATTTGCATAACGATGACGTATTTTTCCGAAGGTTCTCCGATGATGATAAAACAACGAGGGCTTTCCGATTATTAATTTGCATAATCGATGACGTATTTTCCGAAGGTTCTCCGATGATAAAACAACGAGAGCTTTCCGATTAGTCCCCATTTTGTTTCAAGATGGCGGAAGGGTTAATAATGGCGGTTTTAAGGGAAAATAACATTGAATTGAGTGTGAATACTTTTCGTTTCCATTTAAAATTGCTTTTGGAAAAGCATGGGGGTTTATTTGAAAGCATGATAGCTCGTATTGGACGAGAAAACGTACTTGAAAATTTGTGTGTAATCTATCAGGAATTAGACCCTTCAAATTTTGGTCGAATTATGGCTTACTTGACTTTAGTTTACAAAGTTAGTGATTTTTGTGAGCCTGAAATTGTGCAAGAAGCCGTAGAAGTCTGTGTATGGGAATTAAAACAGGTGGACATAGCTAGCTTTCAAATAAAACAATCTTGGATACAACGTTTAATTGCATGGTTACGCGACTAATAACCTGGCGAAATTTGAATATCACTAATCCGGGTTCAATAGCAAAAGTCATTAACTGTTGTACATGGCTGAACACATTGTACTTTTACTGCATTGCCCAGGCCCGTTTGTGCTGACTTAGCAAGAAGCGGTTGATTCTGCTTTTTTTTTTTTTTGATATTGCTTGTTATTTGTACGTCAAAGAGGGATTGAACAGAAATATTGTACCGAAGGCAAAGCAATGGAAATCCATTTCAGAAAGTGTCGGCGGTGTGAAGAATTTGGACCGAACAATACAAAATTACCACTTCATTATACAAGAAGAGAAAGTACGCTAGATTTTGAGGATTTTAGATGCGATAGATGTTTGTTTGAAATGGATCGACCAATGTTTGATGTACAACAAATAATACAAATGTGGAACATAACTTGTGAACATGATAAATGTACTCGGCCGGCAAACTTTTATAATTGTGGGCGGGAGTTTGTATGTTGTATTTGTTACGTGCGAACATATTGTCATATTCATTGTCGTGTATGTAATATCGCACATAAATGCCGGGACGATGATTGCGTTGAAACATTAGCAAGAGCTAGCAAAATGTGTTATTATTAAATGTATTACAAATGTGTTGAACCGGTTTTAAGAGTGAATATCACTAATCCGGGTTGAATAGCAAAAGTCATTAACTGTTGTACATGGCTGAACACATTGTACTTTTACTACATTGCTAACGAAGGATATGGAAAAACTGTCACTTATAGACTATTAAGAGCCTATAATTAAGCTATTAAAACATTGTTATATTAACCCGAACAGAACACTTAAATACATAGAAACCTAGTGAGTGAGTGAAATGTTGTAAATACGCTAAATGAAATATATCAACATTGTTTTTCCTTGAGTTCAAACAGAACTACTTCTTCCTAGTCGTCTTCGGCTTGTCTCAGCATACTCATTTCCATGGGTATGGCGCGGAACCTGCAAAAACCACCTATCAACACTGTCCGAAAGTTGAAACCGGAGTGTAATACCATTAATAACTGAATCGTATCAACGACTAAGTCTAAACCTTTGAAAATGAGTTTTCCACAAAATTTTGAGACTGCTCACGAGCGAATGCTCACCTGCTCACAAGGCCAGTCTAACCCGAACTACCGTGCCCGGTACAATCCCGTGCGATGAGCATGTGCTCATAACTGCTCACGAGCACATGCTCATCTGCTCACGAGGCCCGTCCAGGCCCAATGGGCCGAAGTGCATTCTTCGTTCGTGGAAGCCCAGACACCACAGCAGAAAAACTGACTAGTTCATGTACACAAATGTATAATTTCCCGTACTCGCATGTTCCTGCCATTCTGATTTCTACCCGACCAACCCATGTAAAAATGACAAGAAAAGACAGGTATAATTGAAAAGCAATTTATTTTAATGACTCGAAGTTACATGCTGTGTCTATACTTGTATTGTTTTACATGCTAATACTGTTCGAGTACAAGACTTCAATCCTATATTCGACCTATCAGTCGAGAGTCTAATCATCATTGCATGTCATCATCAGAATTGTAACCCTTTAAAAGCCTTCTTATAAGAAATATTTAACTCCGAACTACTACGCACAGAGTTTGTTAGATTTTTAAAATCATGTCGGGTACAATTTTGTGCGATGAGCACATGCTCATAACTGCTCATGAGCACATGCTCATGCTCATAACTGCTCATGAGCACATGCTCATCTGCTCATAACTGCTCATGAGCACATGCTCATCTGCTCATAACTGCTCATGAGCACATGCTCATCTGCTCATAACTGCTCATGAGCACATGCTCATCTGCTCATAACTGCTCATGAGCACATGCTCATCTGCTCATAAAACTGCAGTGCTGCTCAATAACAAGGCATTTCTACACAGTCAGTGCTAACGGAATGAGCTGCAAATTTTGCAGAAAGCAATTTAGCCGTGGTTACAATTTACGAAGACACGAAAAGAAATACTGTCCCCTACGTGCACAAGAACGAAACATGTCTCAAACAGACTCGGATAGCCAGGAAAGGGATTTCCAAGACGATGTCTCAACAACTTCAACTGATGTGTCTGAAATTTCGATGAGGACTGATGAGTCAGAAACTGAAGAGGAAATGGACCCTTGGATACCGTTGATAGAAGAAGCAAAACAAAGAAGAAATATAGCTTTAGAGGAAATGAAAGAAAGCCTTATAAACACTGGTTTAGATGAGCAATCCGCTAAGGACAAAGCTTTCTCTAATATGCTGCCGAAACTCCAGAAGGAACTGGAAAATATTTATATGGAGTGTCTCGTGTGGATGAAACAACTAAAGAAAGATCCAGTGCATAAGAAGATAATGCACACAAAAGATGCGCTTGTGGAAAACGATGATTTTGATCCAGAAGAAGCGCTAGAAGCAGCTGTTGATAAGAGAAAGTTTCTTATAAGAAGGCTTCTAAAGCGTTACGATTTTGATGAAGAGAATGATGATGACATGCAATGATGATTAGACTCCCGACTGATAGGTCGAATATAGGATTGAAGTCTTGTATTCGAACAGTATTAGCATCCAAAACAATACCAGTATAGACACAGCATGCATGTAAATTCGAGTCATTAAAATAAATTGCTTTTCAATTATACCTGTGTTTTCTTGTTATTTTTATGTAGAAATGCCTTGTTATTGAGCAGCACTGCAGTTTTATGAGCAGATGAGCATGTGCTCATGAGCAGTTATGAGCAGATGAGCATGTGCTCATGAGCAGTTATGAGCATGAGCATGTGCTCATGAGCAGTTATGAGCATGTGCTCATCGCACAAAATTGTACCCGACATGATTTTAAAAATCTAACAAACTCTGTGCGTAGTAGTTCGGAGTTAAATATTTCTTATAAGAAGGCTTTTAAAGGGTTACGATTCTGATGATGACATGCAATGATGATTAGACTCTCGACTGATAGGTCGAATATAGGATTGAAGTCTTGTACTCGAACAGTATTAGCATGTAAAACAATACAAGTATAGACACAGCATGTAACTTCGAGTCATTAAAATAAATTGCTTTTCAATTATACCTGTCTTTTCTTGTCATTTTTACATGGGTTGGTCGGGTAGAAATCAGAATGGCAGGAACATGCGAGTACGGGAAATTATACATTTGTGTACATGAACTAGTCAGTTTTTCTGCTGTGGTGTCTGGGCTTCCACGAACGAAGAATGCACTTCGGCCCATTGGGCCTGGACGGGCCTCGTGAGCAGATGAGCATGTGCTCGTGAGCAGTTATGAGCACATGCTCATCGCACGGGATTGTACCGGGCACGGTAGTTCGGGTTAGACTGGCCTTGTGAGCAGGTGAGCATTCGCTCGTGAGCAGTCTCAAAATTTTGTGGAAAACTCATTTTCAAAGGTTTAGACTTAGTCGTTGATAC